CAGAACCAGGCTCAGGGAGGGGCGGGGCCATCTGCTGCGACCGGTTGGGGTGAGAGAAGGAAGACAGGATAAAGACATGCTGTGGAAGACAGACAAATTCTTTCCATGATTTTTTTATGCTCATTCAAAGAGTTATTTTTTTGAGTGTGTAGTTGTTCTGTGAGTTTCAGAGGTGGGAGGTATGACGTACACATTACCAATTATAAGTAGAATTTTCAGCTGGCTTTTATTTATCTGACAATCTTTCGCTTTTATTCCCCACATTGTAACAAAAATATTTGTATCTTGTTACTTATTATTATTATTATTATTATTATTATTATTATTATTATTATTATTATTACTTTAGACTTAACACATTTGAGGGAAGTGTTTATTTCATACCAATTTGAGCCTAACTGGGGGGAACAATAACACAGAGAAGAACACATACCAACAGAGAAAAGAGCCAAAAACCTTTAATTTATTCATCATTTATGGTGCTATAGAACAGTGCTTTTGATGCAGATGAACACAATTCATGGTATAGCATCTAGCAAGTGCTACTGAATAGGTGTGAGCATAAAGGGAGAAACATTAACATCAAATACAATGTTTCCATCAGCTCAACGAACACACAAAATGTTGTGTGCAGGTTGTCCCACAGTGCATCTGCTAGCTAAAAGTAGGGCTGCTTTATTTCCAAGGAGATGGAGGAAGAAACTAAGTTATGTTTAAAGGTAAGGATTCCTCAGTGGCATTTGATAAAAATAGAAATATTAAGCTTACAAGTAAAGTTTTTTAAAATCAGATTTCAGGTCTGACATGATGTAATGCTTTTCTATATTTGTCTGGCCCAACAAGAAATAATCAAAGACCCTGATTTATAAAGTGCTCAGCAAAGCCCAGCAGGATTCTCCCATTTCAGTGCAGCTAGCCAACAGTGAGGAAGCTTACTTACTTACTTGTTTTCCAATTAATAATTGTTTCTGTCCCTATTTAGCTAACATAAACTGGTGTAGCAGTATTAGTAGTAACCAACCAACCTACTGACATCAATTTCTTGTTTTCTAGATACTTGTTGTTAATCTCTGTCTCTCTTCCACAGCATTTCTTTATCCTGTCTTCCTTCTCTCACCCCAACCAATCACAGCAGATGGCCCCGCCCCTCCCTGAGCCTGGTTCTGCTGGAGGTTTCTTCCTGTTAAAAGGGTTTTTTTCCTTCCCACTGTCCCAAAGTGCTGCTCATAGGGGCTCATATGATTGTTGGGTTTTCTCTGTATGGATTATTGTAGGGTCTGCCTTACAATATAAAACACCTTGAAGTGACTGTTGTTGTTATTTGCACTGTATAAATATTGAAAATTGAATTGAATTGTCCGTACTTGACAAGATGGCATTACACATGCTCTAAACATTTAAATCTAGCTTCATGGACAGTGTTAAATCTGTGACATTGTTTTTAGAGTTGGACTCTGTGGTGTAAATTAAGGTTAAAGCATGCAGACTTTCATGTCCACTTTAATAGTAGGAGCAGGATGTGCCTTCGATGCCTTCCAGTGCTTTTTCAATGGACTGTTTTCTTGTGGTTCAGTTTTGAGGACAATCTTTTCTATTGATCAGTCGGTCGTCTGGCTCCTTACTGCTGTCTGCTGCTAATGATATCAGCGCCGGGGTAATGCTCTTCCAAAAAAGCAGTTCAAATCATCCACAATGCAGGTTATAGGGAACAAACAAACTCACTATTTTTGCAGTCTGAAATATTGAAAATTGCCGAACTAGTGAAATTCCAAACAGCACAAATTCTATTCAAGGCAAAAAATAAAGAACTGTAAGGTAATATTCAGAGTATGTTTTTTTTAAAATAAGTTATAATTTAAGGGGTTTTTGTAACTTCAAAACAGGGAAGGTCCGTACTACAAGAAAAAGCTTTTGTGTTTCTGTGCATGGAGTGAAACTGTGGAACAGTTTGAATACGGAATTAAAGCAACGTCCAAACATAAAACAGTTCAAAAAGAGTTTAAAAAAAAATATGATCTTCTCGAACTATAAAGAAAGTGACTGTCTCTATTAAAAAATTTCATGATGTGATTTTATATCAGAAATCTGTTCACTGTTTTTATTACAGATTATATCAGTAAGAAAGATGACAAAATATTAACTGATAACTTATGGCAAAGGGGTGGGATTAAATAAGTGTCTACTTCTTCCCTTTCAACATGTAAATGAATCAGGACGGTAGCTATATTGAAATGTATTGACTTTTGTATAGTATTTTTTTCTCTCTCTTATTTTCTTTACTAAATGTACCTGTATATTGTTTACATGTTTGAAACAAATT